TGGGAACAACCTGACATTACAGGTCTCCTGATGTGATGTCTTGTGAAAGTAACACCTGGGAGGTATTAATGCCAAAAATGCTTAACCTGACCCAAATCAAACCGCTTGCCCTCACTTCAGTTTATCGGAAGTATGGGGAATAGAAAAGTAATGCTAAGATATTCAGTGGAATATTCAGTGTCATTTTATTTTTAAAATGTTTTTTCTTTATTTATTTTAGAGAGAGAGGAAGGGAGAGAGAGAGAGAGATGGAAACATCCATGAGAGAACATCGACAGGCCGCCTCCTGCATGCCCCCCACTGGGGATCGGGCCCACAACCTGGGCATGTGCCCTGACCAGGAATTGAACCGATGACCTCTTGGTGTGTGGGTCAATGCTCAACCAGTGAGCCATGTCGGCCAGGCTATTCAGTGTCATTTAAAAAAAAAAAGATCTAGAGTCATGGAAGTAGGGAACAAACTGACAAACCTCAGAGGGATGGGGGTGGGAGGGGAGGGAAGAAATAAACCTTTCAGATTTCAACAAATAGATAAGACCTTCCCTCATCCCCCACTCCCCAAACCACTTTGATTGTAAAATGGTATATATTTTTAAGTTTTAGCTGCTAACAACAGAATTCTTTAAAAGGTATTTAGCCAGGCCAGTGTGACTTAGTGGATTGAGTGTCATCAGTTTGATTCCTGGTCAGGACACATAACCGGGTTGTGGGCTCGATACCCAGAAGGGGGCGTGCAGGAGGCGGCTGGTAGAAGTTTCTCTTTCACATCAATGCTTCTATCTCTCTCTCTCCCTAAAAAAATCAATAAAAACATATTTTTAAAAATAAATAAATATAAGGTATTTAACATCAATGTTTTAGAAAAATGTGAATAAGTTTGGTTACTTGGGTTTCCTGGCATTTCAAACTATAGCCATGAAAACAGTGTACTTACTTTCTCAAGCTCATCAAGCTCCTGATAAGACAGACTTCCATTTCTTTCCAACACAATCTTTCTAAGCACTTAAATTTCTTTCCTAGACTTTAAGTCTTAATTTAAAGATTCCATAAATCAAATTACCTTAAAAGTCTAAATACTGATTACAAAAGTAATCAGATTATTTTTTTAAGAACATCACATTAATTTATTTTATATAGTACATTGAATAATGTTATTAAAAATTTATGGGGCACTAACTAGGTGCCAGGCTTACAGCATCAACCTTTGTTCTTAATTATTTGTTATTATTATTGGGCTTTCAGAAGTGTAGGCCCACAAACCCTAATGCCTGTTTCTTCTGGTATTTGGACAGAACAACTAGTGATCAGATTCTTAAACACATTTTCAAATTACCCAAATCTATTATCAGCCAGTTAAATTTGAATTTCAAATAAAGACTGGATACTTTTTAGTATATGTGTGTCCCAACTATTGCATGGGAAATACGTGTGCAATAGTTCCACAAATTGTTGTCTAACAAACAAGTGTTGACAGGGTGTGGAGAAAAGCGAACCCCCATGTACTATTGGTGGGAATGCAAGTTGGCACAATCACTCTGGAAAAAAGCATGGAGGTTTCTCAAAAATTAAAAATGGAACTGCCTTATGACCCAGAGACTCAACTTCTGGGTATACAGTATGTTTGAAGAAACACAGAACACTAATTCAAAAGAATATACCCACCTCCATGTTTGTGCAGCATTTCTAATAGCCAAGACAACTCAAGTCCCTATCAATAGACAACTGAATAAAGAAAATGTGGTACATATATACAATGGAATATTACTTAGCCATAAAAAAGAAATTTTACCATTTGCAACAACATGGATGAAGATAGAGGATATTATACTCAGTGAAACAAGTCAGACAGAGAAAGAAATACCATATGATTTCACTCATATGTAGACTCCAAAGAACAAAAGAAATGAACAAATAAAATAGAAACAACTTGTAGATACAGAGAACAAACTGAGGGTTGCCTGAGGGGAGGGGGTTTTTCAATGAAAAAGTGGAAGGGATTAAAAAGTACAAATTGGTAATAACAAAATAGTCGCGGAGATGTAAAGTACAGATTAGGGAACATAGTCAATAATATTATAATAACTATGTATGGTGCCACGTGGGTACTTGAATTGTAAGGGGATCACTTTGTAAATTACATAATTGTCTAACCACTACACTGTACACATGAAACTAATATAAAACAAAATAATATTGAATGTCAACTGTAATTGAAAAATAACATTTTCTAATTGTTTATCTGAAATACAAATTTAACTGGGAATCCTGTATTTTGTCTGACAACTCTATCAGACTCCCAGTTAGTCCTTCCTAGATCCTTATCCCCTAAGTGCAACCACTGATCTGATTTTTTTTGCCACCACAAATTAGTTTTGCCTGCTTTTTAACTGTCCAAGTTTTTTTTATTTTTAGGCACCGGGGCCGGCGGAGCACGGACAGCGAAGGCCACGGCAGCGACTTCAGGACACCGACTGGGCGCAGGGGGCCGCCGGGGCCCCGGCGGAGCGCAGACGCCAGGCGCAGGGGGTGCGGGCGAGCCGGGCCGTGTCACGCGCCCTCCTTCGGGGGCGCTCACGGCTGCTGCGGGGCAGGGAGAGGTAGCGAGGGAGCAGCCAGCAAGAATGGCGCCAACTGTCCACGTTTATAAATTGGAATCATAAGGTATGTGCTCTTTGTGTAAGACTTCTTTCACCAACACAGCATTTTCTAGATTTATTCATTCTATTGTGTCTAACAATAGTCTGAACCATTTTATAACTATATGCCATTTTTATTCATTCTCCTATTGATGTATACCTGAACTGTTTCTAGTTTGGGGCTATTATAAATAAAGCTTCTATGAACATTTTTACATGTCTTTTTGTGGACTTTTTTTTTATTTCTCTTGAGTAAACATCTAAGATGGAAGAGCTAAATTATAAGGTAGATAGATGTATGTTTTGTTTTCTAAGAAACTGCTAGACCTTTTCCCAAAGTAACCATATAATTTTACATTTCCACCAACAATGTATTAAAGTTCTAGTTGTCCAAATCCTTGCTAACATTTGGTGTAGATATGTAGTGGTTTTTCATTGCAGTTTTAATTTGCATTTCCCTAATGAATAAGGATGTTAAGCAGTTTTTCATGTGCTTATTGCCTATTTACACACATTAATTTGTAAAATGGCTGTTGAAATGTTTTGTCTATTTGTAAAAATTGAGTTGTCTTTTTACTATTGCATTAAGGAGGTCGTTTTATATCCTGAATATCAGTTCTTTGTAAAATAGATGGCTGAGCAACCAGAAGTCAGGACCTTTTTTTGTAACCTAATCTTGTGACATCCTATTCTTTATCTTAATCTATTCATATTCTATTGTTGGAAACAAGTAACTAGGCTCAGACCACACTCAAGGGAAGGGAGACACAAATGGATGTGAATAGCCCTGGCCAGTTTGGCTCAATAATTAGAGCGCCCACCCCTGGACCAAAGAATTTTGGGTTCCATTCTGGTCAAGGGTGCCCCCTGGGGACCCTGGTTGGGGCACTGCCGGAGGCAACCAATCACATCGATGTTTTTCTCTCTCCCTCCCTCCCAGATAAATAGAAAAGTGTCTCGTGTGAGGATTAAATTAATAATAATAATAATAATAATAATAATAATAATAATAAAAGGATGTGAATATCAGGAGATGGGACCATGGAGAGCCATCTTGGAAGCTGCCCACTACAAATGTTGAATTTTAATAACAATTACATTCTCTACATCTGTTCAAACTTAGGATGAAAAATGTTGATGTCATCTTAAAGATGTATGAGTGGATGCAGAGTTTTCCAGAATTCTTTTAGAAATAAAAAAAGAGGTTAGAAGACCATGCAGCTTCAGGCCTAATGCAGCTGGGGCCTCTCGGGAGAGGGCAAGGGGCAAGGGGAGGACCAACAGAGATGGTCACCAGGAGTCTACCAGCAGCAGGAAAGGGCTGTGGGTGCTTTTGACCTTGAGAAAATCCACCGCCCAGATCTGCGTGCTCCAATCCAGGTGAGTGAAAAGTACAGGGAGAAGCTGAGTGCGTCTAGATCCCATGGGCGTCAAAGGCAAGAGAATACAGACGGTGGTTGGTTTAGGATGGAGAAAGGGGATAAAAATACAGTTTTCGAAACGCAAATGTGTCTGGAGCGTGCAGGATGAAAAGAGAGGGCAAGGCTGGAAGCCAGGATCCGACAGGAGGGAGTGGCGGGAACCCAGGACACTGGACCGCGCGCCCAGTGGGGACGGAGAGGTTGCAGTTGGCACACATTCTAGCGGAGACTATAAATGTCAGGGGCCGCAGACGGTCCTTCAGCAGGCGGGGAGTAAGTCTCGGGAAACACGGCAGTCCGGGCGCTGTCGGGGCACAGACAGTACGAGGCCAGGCACCCCGAGTCCCCGAGTTCACGTCACACGCGCGGGAAAGAACTGCTCCCACTTGCTCCCTGGAGCCGGACAGGAACGCGCTGGGCCCCAGCCCCAAGCCGCCGCCGCCTCCTTGGGAAAGGGAAGGAAAGCCAGAGAAGGGGGGGGGGGATAGGAAAGGAGGGGGCGTAAAGAGGGACCCGGACTAAAAGGCAGACTTCTCGAGTCCCGAGTAGGGGCCGGATATCGAAGGACCGAGAAAAAAAAAAACCTGACCAGGGGAAAGAGCAAAGGGATAAAGGATGGAACCCGAACGGTCTGGCGTGACGGCTAGAGCGGCATGCAGTGTGGAGCAGGCCGGGGCTCGAAGGCGAGCGACGGCGCTCCCGCGGGCTGGGGCTGCTGCGGGGCGGCCGGGACGCGGGGAGCGCGCACCTGGGCCGCGCGGGGGCGGGGCGGGGGCGGGGCGGGAGAGGGGAGCGCCAGCCCGAAGCCCTCCCCTCGGCGCGGCCCGCCCCCTCGCTGTGCTGGAAGCCGGAAGCGGGCGAAGGCGGCCGACTGGGGCTGCCGAGCCGAGGGAAGGCCCGGGCGCTCCTTCGCAGCGCCCCCAACTCGGGCCGCGCGCTCCGCTCCAGTGCGGGGGTCATGGGTGCTCCGTGCCGCGGATCTCTAGTCCTGCTGGGGCCCCTGCTGGGGCTGCTGCTACTGCTCCTGAGCGGGCCGGCCCCAGGTCGCGCTTCCCCGTGGCTCTTGGACCACCCGGCACCCGCCTGCTCCCAGCAGGTGAGACCCCGCCGCGCTCCGGACGCGCGGGAACCGCCAGGACGCTGCGGGCGGGGCGGGGGCGCGGGCGCGGGCGCGGAGGGACGGCCAGGCGGCCGGGCTCGGAGCTGGGCTGGCGGGCAGGAAGTCCGTGCTGGGGTCTCGGAGGGTGTCAGCGGCTTGGGCACAGAGAGCAGGCGCACCGGGGAGGACCCTCCGAGCTGCGGGAGTTGCGGTGTGGACCCGGGAGTTTGTTGGGGAAAGAGATCCCGCGGCGCGTGTTGCACAACCTGACCGGCGTCCTGGGCGGGAGGCGGGAGGGCCGCCTCCGCGGGGCCCCAAAGTTTGAGGATGGAGACCGAGGCACCCGGCCGGCCCCAGAGTCAGGGCGGAGCTGGTGAGAAAGCGGGGACGGGACTGGGCCGGTCCCCCGCCGTTGCCCCGCAGACCACCTGTTAGGCCGGGCGGCCGCCGCCAGAGCCCGGGGATGATCTTCACCTCAAGGCTTCTCCAGAGGAGACAGGCAGAGCCCGCATTGGCCGGATCAGAGGTGGAATCCCCCGCGGCAAGTAGCCCGCTTCCCGGGGGGTAAGGGGGACCCTGCGGCCGGAGTACGGTGCGCACAAGCCATGGGGGCCCAGGGACCCAGGGGCCGGAGCCTCCGATGAGACGTGGCCTGCAGAGGGCGACTGCAGCGGGGAGGGGTACGGCAGACTCGGGGCAACTTGGTGGCACCTCCCCAGAAGGGCAAAACCCTTAGAATATGGCAGATGATTAAGACACCGCCCCTCCAGCGCGCCCCCATCACCACTACCATCACTCAGACCTAGCATCTGTCAAGTAGTGATCGCACTGTGCCCACAGGAAGTGACACTCCCATCCTTGGGGTAGTGGCACTGTTGTGGAGGACTAACTTAAGGGGTGGGGTGAGAAACAGCTAAACACAGTGCCCTCCTCCACAGCTTCTTTCCTTTAAGGCTTAGAGGTTCTCAACCTTCCCAATGCCTGACCGTTTAATACAGTTCCTCATGTTGTGGTGAGCCCCAACCATAAAATTATTTTCGTTGCTACTTCATAACTGTCATTTTGCTACTGTTATGTCTTAGGCAACCCCTGTGAAAGGGTCGTTGGACCCCCCAGGTTGAGAACCACTTCGATTGAGCGTTCCCTTCTTTCCTCCACTCTGGTTTCCTCAGCCCCCTCCCCACCCAGTGTCTGAGTCAAAGGATGTGAAACAACTCTAAAGATATTTCTCTTTATCTAATTTTTGTAGAGAATTTGCCAAAAGAGGGTGGACAGTGACTGCTTAGCAGAGAAAAGAAATGTTTTTATGTGAATGAGTTCAGAAATGTCCTTGTGACTCCCATTATTGGGCCAAGCAGGGGACATATGCTCAGCAGATCCTTCCCACAGACTTGGTGTAGAACTTGTGGAAGATTCTGAGTTCAGATTTTGATTGCCGTTTTGTTGTAATGTGTCGGAGGGGATGAGACGCACAGCCTAATTGTAAAGGAGCACTTTTTTCCTCACAGGCGGGCTGGGGGGGGGGGGGGCATAGTCTCCCCTCAGATCAGCAGCTTCTACTCTTCTTGCTAGCCGCTTTTAAAGACAGAAGCCCCGCCCTGCTGGTGTGGCTCACTGGTTGAGCAGAGACCCATGCACCAAGAGTTGCTGGTTCGATTCCCCCTCAGGGCACATGCCCAGGTTGTGGGCCCAGTCCAGCTGGGGGCATGCAGGAGGCAGCCAATCCATGTTAACTCTCATGGATTTTTCTATCTCTCTCTCCCTCTCCCTTCCTCTCTCTCTACAATCAATAAAGAAAAAATAAAAATAAATAAAAAAAGACAAGCCCCATCCCCCTCTTGCCCCCCCCCCAGGGGACTAGTACAATAGTGGGTGTGACAGCAATTACAGAAAATTAGCATTAATCACTGAGCTCATGATTTGCAGTTTCCTGCCAATACCTCCCAAAGCGTGGGACAACTATAACATTAGGCAAAATTTCTTTACTTTTAGGGGTAATTAACCTATTATTGGAAAAATACTGAGGAAGGTCCAACTGATGATAAAAATGGAGTCATTTAGTTGCCTTAGCCAAGGGGCCTGGCTCAATTTGTCAGGTGCCTGCAAAATACAAGGTACTGTTTGTTGCTGGGAACTGAAACTATAAAGAAATCCTAATGTCCGGGGCCTTAAATCATCCAGGAGGGAAAAGACTTGGAGGTGGTATCTGTGATACAAGGTGGCTGGAAATAAGTGCTCTTTGTACCATCAGTGAGTACAGAATTCCAGGGAGAAGAAAAATGATCCCAGCTGGGGTATTCTTTGTGGCAGAGAAGACAGTGGGGTAGCCCTGATGGGGTAGTAGGAGCCTCCTAGACAGTTTTGTTGAGCATTCCATGTGGTGGACAGTGGCTGAACCACAACCCTTGGGTGGGCAGGATAAGGTGTGTGGCTGGAAAAGGAGAGACGCTAAAGAGGGATGTAGGGACTCCTCCTGGCTTGCGTGAGAGCTGGGCTAACCACCTTTGACTTAAATTTTTTTTCCCTTTATTGATTTTAGAGAGAGGAAGGGAGAGGGAGAGAGACAGAAACATCGATGAGAGAAAACACTGATTGGCCGCATCCTGCATGCCCCTCACTGGGAGTTGGTCCCACAACCTGGATATGTGCCCTGACTGGGAATTGAACCAGCGACCTCTTGGTGCATGGGTTGATGCGCAACCACTGAGCCACACAGGCCAGGCCCACCTTTGACTTTCATTGCTCAGTGGGAAGCTACTGAAAGTCTGGAGCAGGTGCACAGCATAATTCCAGAGAGGGCTGGAGAGAAGTGCTTGTCTCCATGCTCTTCTGCCACTTGCCACTGCATACACCTGACTCACATACAGTGCACCTGCCTGAGAAACAGTTCCCTGCATCATTGACTAGGCCCTTTACAAAGGAAGAAACTAGCCCAGGCCAGGTGGCTCAGTTGATTGGAGCATCCTCCAGTACACCAAAAGGTTGCAGGTTCAATTCTGGTCAGAGCACATACCCAAGTTGCCAGTTCAAGCCCTCATTGGGGGCATATGGGAGGCAACTGATCTGTATTTGTCTCTCACATCTGTTTCTCTCTCTCTCTCTCTCTCTCTCTCTCTCCCACCCACCCTCCCTTCCTTTCTTTCTCTCTAAAAATCAATAAAAACATCCTCGGGTGAGGATTAAAAACAGAAGAAGAAAGAAATTCCAGCCCTCAGAGTTCTGTCTCTGCTGGTGTTTTAGTGGGTGCAATACCTGCTATAGTAAGGAGAGTTAAAGCCACAAACTTGAACTCAGGGACCCAGGTTTGCATCCTGACTTCACCACTTACAGTTTCTGCAACCTTGGGCATTTTAGGCTGCCTGCGCTCGGCTGTCCTCATTTCCACAGTGGAAGGCTGGTTAGCGAGCCATCTCAAAGTGGGCCCATACCACTTTACAGAATATAACTCTCCAGAGCCCAGCTTCATTTGGCTCTCAGTGACTCCCTCATAGACAGAGGAGTCTGTTCTGTTCTAGCCCAGCACTGCAACACAGGGTGTGGGAGCTTGATAAGTATCTGGAAAAAAGAACACAGGAGAGAAGGAATGACAAGTGAGTGGTCACTTCTGCTTGAACAGCAACGATAAGCTGAGACCAGGCCGAGTACTCTTCCTGGCTGCCTGGATTGTACCTGAAAACCCGGATGACGTTGAGTTCCCGCAGAAGTCAGTTCTGGAGAAACCATAAGGAATTGCAGTTCCCTGGGTAGGCTTTACCCAAGGTTTCCCTTGGCTATCAGCTCAGAGGAAAGCCCACAAAGACAGGACTTGGAGTTGGTCATTGTGACTGTTAGCACACAATTTTTCAGACAGAATGTATTCTGAATCATTTGATAGCATTCTAAATTATTTTTTGGCCTGAGCACTTGTGGTTTTGACTTGTGGTAGACCAGCTGTGTGGTTTAACCCTTATCTTCTGGTTTCCAGAAACTGCTTTCAGCTGGGCCATTCTTCCCCAGTGGAAGGTTTTTTCTGTGGGTGCTTTTTCACGGTGTAGGCATTTGGTGAGTCAGGGCTGGGGTCACTGCTAGTGGTAGACTCAGCAAAGTTAACAGTTTCCTTGGCCACCATGCTCAACTTCTCACTTCCCCTCTGAAGGCTAGCCTTCCATCTAGAGCAGGGCTCGGGAACGTCCAGCTTGCAGGCCGTATAAGGCCTACAAAATCATTTGGTCTGGCCCTACCAAGGCAACCTCGGTGGGACTCAAGATTCAATAAATCTAGGAGTTTTTTCATAGCAACATACATTTATGTTAAGTGAATCATAATAGCGTACATTTTGAGGGTCAAGCAAGGAACGACCACTACGGGACAGACAGGACACATACCAGTACATGACAGGACAGACACATATGCTTCTCATTGGCTGCCTGCGGCCCGTCTGCCTGTATTACAGTGACTCAGAGGACAGTGCCAGGCAGGCTGGGAGTGTACACGGTGTCAAAGTGTTAACACACTAGAGAAACTATGGCGATCTGGTGATGATGAGATGAGATGTGATGAGATAATTCCTCACGACATTGATGACCTTGCCTCCAATGATTGACGATGATATTGTTGACTTCTTTGTCAACACAGACAATAACTCCAATTCAACCTTTATCCACACGTCCTCGATCAACAATCCTCACAAAACCTGAGGATGAAGATAAGGAAATTACAATACACAGAAAAGACCTCAAGAGTTGATATGAGCGCTGGATATGTTCCAAATCTAAGATGCAGTATTAGAACAGCAATGAAAGCAAAATAATCACATCGCTGGTGACACACACACTGGATAGTTATTCAAACTTAAGTGGTGTGATATCCTACAAATGGTAACTGAAAAGAAAGGAAAAGTTGATCCTCTGCCCATTTTTTAATTGGTTTTTTGTCTTCCTTTTGTTGAGTTGTATGAACACTATATATTTTGGAAATTAACCCCTTATCTGATGCATCATTGCCGATTATGCTCTCCC